AGTTCTTGTTTTTATTTTACACCGCTTCTTGGTAGGAAAGTACCGTTCAAACGAAGCAATGGCTTGAAAAGTGTTATAAGGACTCCCCTTCATCAGAAACACCAATTGAACGTTGGTTTGCTGACGATGATGCAGAACGCAGTGGACGTCCAAATGAGGCAGTAACATCAGAAAACATGAAGAAATCCACAAAATCGTTTTGACTGATCGAAAAGTAAAGTTTCTTGAGTTAGCTGGCATTGTAAAGATATGAATAGAACGTATTGGCTTTATATTACATGGGCATTTGACTATGAGAAAGCTTTGTGTCGCGCGAGCCCACTGTTGACCAAAAACAAGAACATGATGATTCTGAGCAGAGTTTGGCCATGTTTGAACATAACAAACCGGTATTTTTGTGTCGATATGTGACTATGGATGAAAAATGGATCCATCACTTCAGTCCGCTATCAAAACGACCGTCATCTGAGTGGAGAGCAACTGGTGGACCTCGTCCAAATCGCCCGAAAGCACATTAATCGGCTGGATGTGCGTGGTGCGAAATTTATTAACTATCTTGTGAAGGGAAATACCATAATGCGTTAATGGAGCGTTTGAAGGCCGAAATTGCAAAGAAACAACGGCATATGGCAAAGAAGATAATGTTGTTTCATCAAGACAACGCATCGTGTCACAAACTACATGAATTAAACTTCGAATTACTCCCACATCCACCGTATTCGCCAGATTTGGCTCCCAGCGACTACTGGCTGTTCGCAGATTTCAAAAAAATGTTCACCGGTAAGAAATTTCGCTCGTATAAAGAGGTTATTGCTGAAACTGAGGCATATTTTGAATTGAAAGATGAATCGTTCTACAAAGTGGTATTGAAATGNGTGTTTATTTTGAAATTAATTACATTGTTCCCCCTTTCGGAAGATTCCCACATTTTTTTAAAGATGGAAAAGTAGAAAGCCAAAAATTTTCTTGCCCAAAACTTATCTCCCCAAAAAATATACCGCTTTCATCTTTGAAAAAATGGAAAATTAGTGTTTTCGGGTTGGTGTTCATTCGAACCTGTGAATGAATTTATCTTTCTTAATTTGAAGCTAATCGAAGTACCTGAGGGAAATAAGTACAGTTTTAATCGGAAAATTCAACAACATAAAAAAGATCAGCGAAAGTGGGTACCTGATATTATATCTCCTGTATCTTGGAAATTATCAGTTTTCGAAATATACAATTACAACTTGGAAGTTTCTAATGACCCAAGTTAGGTTAGCCTGTTGAATGCTCCTATATATAAACCTAAAAGTATAAACATATTTCCAATATTTTCAAAAACTACACTTCACGATTTGATCTCCACAAACTTTATTTGAAAAATATGTCACAACATGTTTCGCTAGCACAGTAGCTTTGTCAAGTGATTTGAATACTTCAAGAATAATATGTTGAATTTGTTTTCTTATTTACATAGCTCGTATGATGTTCCTGGATTCGATTCCTAAATGTTCTGTCAGTTTGACCAATATATACCTTAGGACACGTTCCACACTTTAATTTATATACTCCTGATTTGTCGAATTTGGATGTTTTGTCTTTATTATTTTCAACTAACTTTCCCAACTTATTACTTGTTCTATATGCAATTTTAATATCTCGTTTCCTCTGCGAAAAAATTTTTAGGTTTTCTCATATATCAATGGAGTCGATTTTTCAGTATCCATTCAGTAGTACTCCAAAATAAGCAATTTCAATTTAACCGATTCACATAATTTTACCATTTCTGGAATCACATGTATAATTTCAATGTCAAATATCAAATATGTAGGATAATGTTCATCAGATCTATGTAATATTTTTTTTCATTTCGTTAAAATGCAATGATCGCGCAACGTTCACAGACAATATCGAGCTTCTAGCTAGAGAATGTCCCGGTACATGCGCCTGAATTCGACCTTTTATTATAGTTTGACTCATTTTGAAATCGAAGCGGAAAATTATTCGAACATGGGATACTGATTGAGTGGATCTTAAACGACTACAACATCCAGTTAAGTTTTAAAAGTTACATGGCGGACAGGGTTTTATCCAATTTATTTATGTTGTGTTATTAGCCGACTTATATTAACGTTTTTATATTGTGTTTTTAAAGCACATTTTGAGCCAGAAAACAGTAGAAAATATATTTTATAGAACATACTACATACATGGTTATTTCCATCATTTACAGTCATTAAATAATCATTCTAGAAAGTAAGCTGAACGAATCATCAGTAGATTTCAACTCTCAGAGAATGGGGAATGTTCCTCCTGACGAAAATCAAGTAGTTTTCATAAAGAACTCTAAAACAACGCATTTTAAACTTAGAATTTCAACCTTTTTCTTTAAAAAACTATTTAAATACTTAAAAAAGAGGAATGAAATAATGCATTCAACATTTAAAGGGATTCGTTTCTATTTCACCATTTGGCAACATCGGTTATAGCTAATAAAGGACAATGAATCTGTTACCTGNGAAAATCGGTCCAGCCATTCTTGAGTTGAAATTGAGAAAGAAAATTCTGAATCTAGAAATTTCTCCCAATATTCAGAATTTTTCCACATGACACTGTCGAAATTTGACTTTCTCTAAAATCTCATAATAAAGTGTCTCTTAAATAATTTTATGGGTAATTATTATTCGACGTTGTTACATATACGCTCATGGTTGTTGATATTATCGAAAGTTAAAATCAATCTTGTCAATAATTTAAAAAAATGTGAATAAAAACCATTGTTTCTCAGACATTTCTGATACAAGTTACAACTGTACAGTTGAATCAGTTGAATTCTTTAGTCGCGAGCTGAATCTGAATAGATAATCTGATGGTACCTTTCAATACAAGATCCAAATGTATATTTAATTAATGATTTTCGGGAAATAACGATTTTTTAACAGGTATAACCTAGTTTCGTAGTTACTACTCTCATCATTTTACATTTCCTACATTTAAATAACCTTGTAATGTGAGAATTTACCTCGATATTATATTTCTTAGTAGTCAGGAAAGAGGAAAGAGAGAGAAAAAATATCGCTCGGTCATATGGAAAGAACACGATCAGAACATTTTTGTGCGAGACATTGACTCTGCACGCCTCGTCCTATTCTGCTTTTCTTGCAATAAAACGCCTCTCATTGCACTCAGTAGCGTCTCGATAAATTTACTTCCATGTGGTTGGGAATCAAGTAGAAAACAATATATCTGATAAATGTGAGTAAACGAAGCATTTATTGAACAAAACCTAATAGTTGTGGATGATAAGGGTTGGATATTCATAACAGGATTATTGCTGTAGGCGTCAAAAAAAGATTTCAATCTGTAGTTGCAGTTGAAGATGAGCAAATGCCATCCACATCAACAAGGCACTTTACAAGTGTAGAGGACGATTTTTCCTGTGATGATTCCATCGCTGATCCTAACCATAGACCAGTTATTGAAAACATCATCCAACTAGCCAGAGAACGAAAGAAATCCTCTACCAGTACCGCAGCCTGGTGACATTTTATCCAAAACCAGGATTCGTGACTTGAAGAAAGAGAAAAAAATAAAACGAAATTTGGGTCAATCTTACAAGACCTTAAAAGGCAAAGTAATTCCTGGCAGAACAACAAAGGACTTAACCACTTGTAGGATCAAGTTTGAAAAGCGCATACCAATCAATGATAGACAAGATTGGAATATTGGAAAATGGGTTCATATTTGAAAAGATCAGCATACATGCCGTCAATAATTGATATCGAGGATAGAAGTACTCAAAAAACTCGCACAATGGATTCAGAAAAGAAAAACGAAAATTTAGGATGAACACTTATACCTCTCTCACCTCTCCATGGAAAAATAGTACCTATATGCCGAGGTTGCTTGCTTGAGATATTGGATGAAAGTGATTTTTTCATTAAAACAGTGTCTATGAAAAAAAAAGCTCTATTGGAGGAACTGAAACCGACGATATGCGTGGAAAATTGGTACCAAAACGTAAAATGTCAGACTCAAAACGCGAGAAAATTAGAACACACATTTTATCATTTCCATCTTACAAAAGCCACTACACCAGAAAGACTGCTTCGAAGAAATATTCTCCTTCTCATTTAATTATGCAAAAAATGTATGAAGTATTTCGTGAGAGTACTGAAAATTCAGATTCTATAAAAATTCATAGTCAAGAATTTCATAAGCTGAAACTATCTTTTAAAAAGTCACGTGTGGACACTTGATTCACCTGTGACATGAAAACACAACTTGCCGATAAAAATATTAAAGCAGATTTAGTTACTCAACATTATGAAGTTGATGAAAGGTCCCAATGAGTAAATAACCACAGTGTCACTGACTTTGATTGGGGTTTTAATGACGGTTTTTATTACTTTTGGGTCGGGTTTTTCAATTTTTTATTTTGTTGTTTACTGTTCCAAAAAATTACATAAGTAAACAATTTGGTGAGTGTTTATTTCAAGTGTTTTTTTATTTTATAAACCCTTCTTCTTGCACCATCAGAGGGCCTCGCTATATTTAGATCTTTCGCCGCCACTGGTTTTACATGATTAAAATTCAGAAAAACGAGCTATAAGATAACTGCAATTAGAAGGTTTTTTGTTAATAAAATCATCTCGAATATTCGTAACTTCCAACAGTCTGTATTGCAAACGAATCACCCCGAATTCCATCGGTCAATGAAATACCGTGGAGGGGAATGGGGGTTCATTGTATTCAGCCACCCCCCGAGTGCCGCTTGATACGAATACTCCCGATGAGTCATGTCCTGAATCGTCGTGAAAACGAGGGCACCAGTAACTGAAATGCGATAACTGGTATGAACGCCGACATCTCCGAGAAGTCCCTTTCGGATTGTCCTCGCCAACATGTGATATAGTTCAGTGCCTCGCGATTTTTCGCAACACAAACGTCTAGCCGTACCATGAAAAAATACACGCCTAAGCTTTCCGATCGCAGTGCCATCGAAATAAATATCGAGTAGTCTCGCGAGTTCGACGACGTTTTTATGAGCCATGAAAAATGGAATTTCCAATATAAGGACGAACAGAACGGCTGAGCTGAGATACAGGAGGTCGCCTTCGACCGCGAGGAAATACGAAAATGGATCATCCGGTGGAGAATCGAAAATTACGTCTGATGGTACATCGACTTATGTTACGTAGGTCAATGTTGTTGGGTTATACAGGGCGTAGCGGCGTATCACATTCGTTGCACAATTCGACAATTCGTAACTTTTTTTTTAGTATGGCACAAATTTTCAATGTTTTGTTGAAAAATGGACATTGATGAACCTCCATATCTGCAAAATGTTCTAATCTTAATCGTTACTTCTACTTATAAATGAGTTTTTTTATTTCATTCATTCATTTATCCTGAAAATGATTAAATGTATACAATTCAAATGTTGTAAAAGTAAAAGAGTAAAGTCACCGTCAGTAGACAATTATGGATACTATCGAAATGTTATGGAATAGCTTGCTTTGAAATTTTTTTTATTCTTCTTTTTCCATTATTTTTATTATTATTTTGGTAAGCTATTGAAATTTTTTATTATTTTTATTCATATTATCAATAAACTTTCCTTACGAATTTGCTCTCCATATTTATTCTTTATTTTGGATATTATTTTTATCACCAACTCATCCGAATATTTTATTCCTAGTATTTTTAAAACTTCATTCATGTATCTTCTAGATATCAAATCTATTACGTGCCAAGTAGGATAAGAAGCCACGAGTGAAAAATTGTATCCTCGAGATGCGTACTATACTTTTTCTACGACTGGCCATACATACAATACAAGTACAATATATTTATTTGAGATTATGGCTTTGAATAATAAACTCATTCAGTCAGTCAGAACTGACACGCGTTACCGCGATTACCAATGTGATGCCCGATTGCGATGAGTGGTAGCATAGTTCACTTTGTGAGTGATTAAATAAATTTGAAGACTTTTAAATAATATAAAAATGTGAAATACAAGTACGAACAGGTATTTTTTGGTCTGTAAAATATTTTCAAATCCTTTTGCTTGGCTGTTATAGTTCATGGAATTAACGGAAGTAGGATTTGCTTTAGAGACGTCTGGCAAATGAAATATGATTGGCTGTTGGCTGGTGTGGCTGAAAAATTCAATTTTAACCTTTATGTTGTTGCAAAAAGTTTATAAAAAATGAATAGAAGGAAAAATCGGAGTTGTGTTACCTTCGAAAACAAATATTTGCCATCTGCAGCTTCCTTAATGAATTGATTTATTTGTTCAGTGGTAAGCGTCGACGATTTCTTCGATTTATAACCATCAGATTTGTGTTTCAGAGAGACACGTATTTTGGAATATTTGCTGATGTCCACATTTTTCATGATATTCAGGATACTTCTCAGCATGGAGTAAATTGCCCATAATGACTATGGTTTCAAAGTTCCTTGAAGTCTTCGAAATGAACGAAAAGAGCTTTTTCGGAAAATGAAGTTATCTTTTTCTTCTCTCTCCAACTCATGAAATTTTCGAAATTATATTCGTATTTTTCTCTTGATTTTGCTGGCATAAAATTATTCATCTCAATATTTGATTGCTCGGTAATATCTGGTTGGGTAGCACAGATTTCTTGATCGTTATCACTCATTTTGAACTTTTACGAGATACTGAATGACAACTTAATAATTAAAACAAATGGTTGTTGATTCCCAGATTTAATTAGATTCATTACCAACCCAAAAACTGTTGAACAATATTCATCATATTATATTCATCAGAGTTAATGTTACATATTTCATCATTTATTTAAATTTCTTACGGAAGTGGCCGCCATTAATTTAGAATACATGTATATTAAATAATTTCTTTATTAAATTGTTTAAATAACTAATTCATCATAACACTAAAACAACAGTACAAAAATAACATTTCAAAACGCTCAAAGGTGCGAACTTGTTTCCTCCTTTTCATAAAAGAGGATGTATGCATCTCCACTCACAAGCGATTTTGGTGAAATTGGTAACACGTTTGAATCATTGTATTCGTGCCACGTGCCAGTGTAAGGATGTCTGCAGAATGCTGTATAATGTCCGCTGTAGGTAGATCCAGTGTGATTCGAAAGTGCATATCGATTATAACGACAAGGAGTCACATTTTCTGCTGCATAATTGTTCATGTCTAATCCATCTAGAGGAAATTCGATGGCAACCTTTAACTTGCCTCTAAGTCTTTCTGTTTGAGAAAATCTTTTAAAATGAATGACTAAAATACGGGGAAACTTATGGATCGATAGAGACTTTGTGCATTTTCTTCTTTCTTTGCAACTCGAACACGTCGGTTTTTCATGTCCATCCAAAGTTTCCTCTCTTGTGAATGAATCCAAGCACTGATAAATTCAATTGGCCGGTTCTTTGTGCTATGGGGAGTGACAAATCCCAGAAAGGATCGAAGGTTACAGATCGTGGATTTCAATTGACCAACGAAATTATCTACAATCTTATATGTACTCATATAAATCAGCCATGACTCTTTTTCGTTAATCTCCGTTAAGGTCGGTTTAGGTTTCTCAATAATTCTAATAACGTCATCATGTAAGTCTTCTAAAAGACAACGAAGGAACTCATGGGCGTCTTGATGCTATTATCTACCTGCTGTCAAACACGTAATGATTAGTTTAAGATGAAAGAAGTAGAAAAAATAATATTACAAATCATTATGAAATAGTTATCAATTATTCACACTTACAAGATATCTCATAATTGCATCATAAAGCAATTACAGTCTTGAAATTTTTAAAAAATTCAAAGAGATGTGTGACATCAAGTCCCTTTCTGACAAAGAATATTTGCGGCATTTAGCAATAATAGATATGTGTCAACACACTTTCGAAAAAAAAAGCACGTTTTCTGTATTATGACAACTACCAAAATGTGTTTAATAATACTTATTAATTAATTATAGTTTTCATAAACGTGTTTGTGTGGTTGTTTTTTGGACTACATATTTATATTTTATCAGTCATTAGTTTCATCTAGAACAATATTTTTTTTTTACATGAACTCCTAAAACTTTTGTATGAAACATTTTTGTGTATCTCCTTCAACAAACCAGATATTGCCTGTCACATAAAATGTGGGACACCCGGTATAGTTCATGTGTTCTGGTTGTAATAGCATATACGAGGTCTTTTCAAAAAATGAAGTAAATTTTCATTTTTCTCAAGAAATATTTATTTATTCATCAATTTCTATTTTGTTCCCTACAAGCTAGTCCCTCTCAGATATAATACACTTGTGTCAACATTTTTTCTAAACCTCGAAGCAGATCTGATGTACCTTTGGAATGTCCATGAGCTCTCTTAGCGATTCGATTTTTAACTACTCAATAATCCCAAAAGGCCATCCTTACAGGGGTATCTTCAATCTTGGGAACAACAAAAAGTCACGGGGGGGAAATCTGGTGAATACGGTGGCTAAGGTATGATCACGGTGTTGTTTTTGGCCAAAATATTACACACAAGAAATGACGAGCAAGCAGGTGCATTATCTCGATGCAAAAGCCATTAATTTTTCGACAATATCCGACGTTTACTTCGTATCGCTTCTCGCAAGCGGCGCATAATTTCAAGATAATACTCTTTATTGACCGTACAACCACGGTAGAATAATACAACTAGTAGGCTCTCTTACCACGTGATCCGCCCGAGTTGCCGGGGACTTTCAACCGCTCTTAGGATGAGATTCTCATCCAACGCGTTCAGTGCTGTAGTATCGAAGGATTTGACAGTACCACGCACATCGGATTAGTTATTCGCTCTTGTTATTATTGTTTTTAGTTTTTGTAGTTGGTTATAATAAGTAATTTACCACAAAATATTATATAATAACCTTAAATTTCGTTTTTATATGAGCTCACGATTATGGTGAAAGAAAGAAATTGACTCCACACTTCGTTTTGAGGTCACCGACAACTTTGTGAATTTATGAATGAAAGTAGTGGGAGTGGACTTACTGGTTGATATGCACTACGCCACGGTAATCGGAGAAAAAACAATGAGCAAAATCTTGACGTTTGATCGAAATTGGTGTGCATTCTTTGCTCTTGGCTCTTTTGGGCTCATCCATTGAGACGATTGGAATTTGGTTTCGAAATTCTTTGATCCATTTTTTTCGATAGAAGAAAATCGCCGAACACCCAAAACATTATTTCTACCTTTTATGCCTCTCATCAACAAACTAAACATGCTAGACAGCTGAAACTATGAACATATGTTCGAGACGAGTGTACCACATAAAAAAACTGAAAAAATCGCTAATCGAATGTTCGTAGACCGCGAAATTTGAACATCTACTGTATTTTAGAACAGACTTTGTACATAATTTGAGGTTTAGGAGTAACCCCCATTATTGAAGTAAGTTTCTACTGAAAATCCAATTGCCACATTCAACGAGTACCCGCTTCCTTTGTTAAATTTTCTTCACATTTAAAAAAATCTGTCATTTAGAATACCTCGATCAGCGAAGAAAATTTTTACCGATATTGAAAATTGCAATTCTCCCACCATATATGAAAGATGACAGGAGATATAAAAACCATCTATGATATTCTTACGTTTTCCTTGTGTAAATGAATCGACGATGTTAACATTCTAATTCTTTTAAATTTATTGACTAAATTGGACATGCTAGAAGAAGCTACTGTATAGTGAAACACTTACGATTTTGTAACTGTTTTGTAAAAACTTGCAATAAGGTTTTGTACAATGATATTATTTCAAAAAACCATATATTTTTTTCTGTTCAATATGCTCTTCAACTTTGTACCAGAATTTAAAAAACAATATTTTTTTCTATAAAATAACTCAATAAAACTTTGTCAGTGGTCCTGTTAAATTATTGGATTTTTGAAAAATTATCTTTTTTGACTTGCTGTCAGTTCCTGCTACTTTCATAATTTTTATTTCCATAAACCTACAGTATCGGAAATTGTCAATACTAAGAAAAATTTATGAACAAAAAATAAATATCTAAAGACATGACATTACTAACTTGATAGATAGGATTTGGCCTAAAATGAATCTATTAAAAACACGTTTTCCTCACCAGAACGAAAATTCTGTCTACTCGACGCGCGTTTCGCCAACTAAGTTAGCATCATTAGGAGATGACAAGTGCTTTCAATAAATACATTACTGTCTCGTTTCTAATGAATATAAAAATAGCTTGTGATGCAATGTTTGGAACCTTTGGTGTAGTAATCAATGTTACTGGATATTACTGGAGTTTTTTCCCAACACCAAACCGTTATTTTAACACCTTGACACATGTTTCGATCAACAAGTGACCATCTTCAAAAGAAAGATCAAACTAATCATACTTACAAAGCTATCCTTGCAAATTGCCTCGACTTGCAAATTGTAAAATTAATTTAAGACACTCAAGACATAGTTAGCTAGAATAGGTATCTATGGTATAAATAAAAATAGCTTTTTAAGTATGATTAGTTTGATCTTCCTCTTGAAGAAGATCACTTGGTGATCGAAACACGTGTCGAGATGGTAAAATAACGGTTGAGTGTTGGGAAAAAACTCCAGTAATATTTATAAAAATAGCTAATGAATAAAATGGGTTTCATTTAAAAAATCTTTCTTTTAAATTCACACTATAAATTGATATTCTGTATGCATGATTTTTTATAATAATCTTCATACCACTTGACAATACTTTGAGGAGAACGGTAGTAGCACTATTTCAGCATATTGATTTCAAATATCACAAAATAATTGTTTTTTTCACATAAATGATTAATCTTTTTAAATGGTATGTTAATGGAAACCACTAGAAACAAAATTTAATTTGCGTACTTTATTGAGCATAGAACTCATTTGGCTCAAATTGTTCCAGTGTTTTGTAAATTAGATTATTGAGTTTCAACTTGATGTTATACAGTTGGTAGTCGTTCTATATTTTATTCTGCAAAGTTCTCAAATTACCACCTATTACTAATAATTGACTTATTAACTATGTTCACCATTAATGTCGTATTCATACTATTTAATTCTTATTCGAGTGCTACTTTTCAGTCAATGGAATCTTGATAATGAAATAGTGGAGGAACTTAGATATTTTCATTGAAATTGTCATTAAGACGATCAACAATGACATGTTTGCTGTTTCTTCTGGTAGGGCGTTTCTAGGTATTTTCTGATATAGGTTGAACATCAAAAAACATTAGTGTGTCGCTCAAATGACCCCTTCACTACATTTTGATTTTTCCACACACTGTTTCACCCAATGTATATCTTTTTTTCAGTACCCCATCGAGATCGCGACTCCTTTCCGCCCGAACGTCCACTCCGAACTCCTCGTCGATGGCCGACTCCCCCAGGTCCTTGGAAAGCCGCTTGACGAGGGTGGGCCGCCCTTCGGCCACCAGTAGCCCAGTCAGGCATTCGAGAGTCAGCAATCTGTCTTCGGTTGCTGCGGCAGGCTATGATTCCGACGATTCCATCAGGTTAGATCGAACCAACCACAAGGCCATCAAGCAGGACATCGTCAGCATCAAGACGATGCTGTTGAAGTTGAGGAGAGTTCTTAATGAGGTAAGGCGTGTTTTTTCATTGGAATTTGGGAATAAATTATTACTGATAAAAGACGTCTCTGCATTGAATCAACTCAATATGAACAGTGTCAAGGTAGAAATAGTTGAAAAGTTCAACTTTTGTTTACTGTGGAAACATTTTTCTATGTTTTCAAAAATGCCTTGTCAAGACAGTGATGTTTTCTGAATTCATCAATAACCCTTACAGAGTTCCACATCCACCACTTATTTCTCTGGTGATTTTACACAGTGTGGTTTCTTCTAATTAATTTTATAATAATTTTAACGTTAAATAACAGCTTTGAAAAATCACAATATTTAGTGGGATCAGATGAGAAGCAAAAAAACTTTAATACATTTCTTAAATAGTTCTTTTTGTGAATATAAAAAATGGTGACACAATCAATGTTGTTTTTATGAAATGTTGACCAAGTTTATCAACGTTCCTCCCGACAAATATTTTTTATCTTCAGTCTAAGAAGGCTGAGTCAACAATTCCTAGAAACCTAACTTCAACAGGTCTCATTTCATATCAAAATAATTTTTTTAAGTATTTGACATACATTATAAATTCAAATTATAAATTCAAATGACTTTATATTTAATTTGAAAGGTTTTTATGTGATTTGATTTTATGATACATAGTCATATCAATCAAAATTAATAGTGAAACAGATATTTCTCAATTGTTCATATTTAAGTTTTGTCAAGTGAATGAAAAAGAATGAACAGTGAATATATGTTACAAAAAAAATTTTTAGTTTAAGTTTTCCGTTGGTTGTAGGAACGACAATTTGTATATTCATTTAGCGTTTTTATTTTGTGAAGATTTCAGTTCTTCCTTTGTTGTGTTTGTGATTTTTTTTAATTATTATTTTTTGCATATTTTCTCATTTTCGTTTGGCATCAGACAGTCGAAGAAGAATTGATGAGGGTGAGTATTATTTGATTTTTATATTTTGTTCCATAAGAGTTCTGCTTGTTTTTGTTTCACACTATTAAAAACACTTTTCCCACACCAGAACAAATGTTTCTCAATGCAAACCATCAAGAGATGACCTAAACTAAATTTAATGAATATCCTATTTGTGACTAACCAAAAAGGAAATGCATGTAAATTATCCAACTTCAGACATATTAACTCACTGACGAATATATCTACACTTTTCGAAAGAGCAATGGCTATCTGACTAATATTGTTCTTTACAAATTTCTGTATGTTTTATAATCACCAACATGGCTATCTGTAAAATAGGTCTATTGAAACAGTTTTAATTCACTTCCTTAATGAAATTGCATAATCGATGGAGAAGAGAGATCTGGCCTGCGGAATTTTCCTTGATTTGCGCAAGGGCTTTGATTGTATAGATCAGGGGTCTCCAAACTACGGCCCACGGGCCAAATCCGGCCCGCCAGTGTCATCAATCCGGTCCGCGACAGCCAATGATTTACTGTCATCAATCTGACCCGCGACAGCCAATGATTATCTAATTGTTGTTACTATTGCTGTGATAAGTTGAAGAAGAAAACAGAATGATAATCACTTGGTTTCATTTATTTGCAAGGTAAAAGTTAACGACAGAAATGATGACAAAGAAGACTTAACTGAAGTATCTAAATTTAAGCATAGTAATAACTAACAAATATTTGAAATGAATCACAGTAAAACAAAAACACTAATGAGATTTATGTAATTGTGATTTTCCACCGACAATACTTTGTAGTTGTGGATCAATAAGTTGTTATAGACAGACCGTTTCCAAAATAAATTAATATTCTCAATCTCCTGTTTAATAAAAAGATGTTCCCAAACTGGGGTGTCTGGCAATACAGTAACGAATTATTAGTTGCTTGTTATGAAACCACAAAAAATTAATTCCATTATGGAAATGAGATTCGATGGAGAACAGAGTAAGCCATTATATTTATATATAAACAACCCCTAGTTCTTAGGTGGGAATTTAACACTTCAATCCAGAAATTACTATGAAAATATTTTCATAGAATAATTTTATGTGTATGATTTTCAGTCAGAAACTCACAACCCATTTGAAAGTCATCACTTGACGAATGGGATCTTCAACAGTCTATGTTTGGGAGAAGGCGACCCCAGCTCACCGGCCATGACCTCAACAGAGGACAATGCCGCCAAGGCGCGATTTGAGGTAGCCGAGCTGCGCCGCCAAGTATTGTTCCTGCAGGGACAACTGGAAGACCGAGAAAAGACTGTGCAGTCTTTGCAGGAGCAGATGATCAAACTGAACAATGACAACTACCATGCAAACTCGGCGCCCGCTTCAACCATGTCTTGCGACAGTCAGACCTGCAACGCTGCCACTCAAACGGAAAGGGTGAGTTTTTCAGTTCACTTATTTTAGTCTTTGGAATTGAATGTGGATAATGCGACAGAATCATATAACTTTGAAATTGGAAATTTAAATACACACCATGGCTGCTCCTTGCCAAAACACAGTATGTAATAAATTAATAAACTGTTAGGTTAAAGGTAACAAAATTTGTGTATTTACTGAGTTTGTAGTATCCCATATCTCCGAAATCAGTAAATTGGGTAATTAATAGATCAGCTCTCAAGATGCATACAAGCATGGTAGGTACAACTGTGTATATAACCCATTCTTCATTTTCATGTCGGTTACTGTTTTTAGGCATTGAGTAGCTGAACTATCTAGAATACTCTTCCCATAAATACAATTCTTACATCTATTGGTGGATGTTTGAATTGTATGTGCTTGTAAAAAGATGAGTTCTGTATTGCTACTTTTAAGCAATCTCTCCAGTTCCTGTAAACAAAATTTTATCGTCTGTTTATAGATCACAAAAACATTAAATTTAAAATTCTTCTCAATCTCTTTTTAACTTCTTTCGAGGTTAATAGAGAATCTAGTAGTAGGTTAAGAATCTAAACAAGTGTATATAATCAGTTTGATAACATATGCACATATATGTTTTAATCTAGTTTATTACTAACAGCTTTGTTCCTGATGAAATTGTTTCAACTGAAGACAATTAGAAAATTCATGCTAAAAATTTTGAGTAAATTATTAGACAAAATATCTGAAAATTACAGTAGGTATCTATACATTCAGAAGTTTTTATTGGTAAAAGACGAAAGACTTGGGCAATTAATAAAAACAAATGCATATTGAATTTATAATTGATTTTTAACACATTGTTTTTTTTCCAAATAATTCACAATCAACTAAAGATAAAAATATAGAATGAATAAGGTATTCAGGCCTTTCGGATATAATCTTTGATTTGGTCTCATTCGAAAATTCACAAAATGAATTATGTAATCTGTAAACAGCACATTTTGAGTAAATGTTGGAAATTTATTTTTCAAACATCTGGACAATAACTCATAATTTGTTCATTTTCATATTCATTAATTTTTTTCATAAATCAGTGATATTTTGCAGGTAATAAATACATGGGAAAAATTAATTGCCAATTGGAAATATTCATTTTTGTAGCACAAAACTGGATATCTTACAAATATATTGGAGAATCAATCAGTTCATTTATTGTTACCAAGCAGCAAAATCTCACTTTGAAAGGTTGGACTGCTTGTAGACCATTTAAGTGACTTTTTTCATCAAATCTTAGCCAAAAGATATTCGATTGCTTCCATTTAATTTCTCATCAAAGTTTAAAGATGAAAAGTTTTACAAGCAGTCATCCATTCTCAGATTGATTAAAATGCTGTTGCTTCTTGAAAATCACTTGACCCAACACTTCAGGAGGTAATTAGTTTTGGTAATTGGTTCATTACCTTTTTCATTTTAAAATAATATTTCTCTTATACCTCTTATATCACATAGTTATTCCTCATCAAAGATTTTATCATTCAAGATTCGGCCAATATCTGCGGGTCCATCCCTACTAAATGGTTCTTCAGTTGATGGGAGTGCTGGGTCTCTAGTCAGGTAAACGGAAAGTGTTTGCTTTGCACATTATTCTCCAACTCATCACACTCATCAACGTATGTTTCGTCTCTTTTCTTCATTGCATGTATGTCTGAATGATAATATAAAAGTTTATAGGTTGTGGTTTCAAATTTGGAGTACTCGGAACTTTTCTGTGGAATAAATATATTTCAAATATTTTTTCGAATGCTTTTCTTATTCGAGAACGTGTTCGCTGTTTCAATAGGGAACTAACCACATTTGTAGTTTTCAAGTTATTTATTTCTTGAGAAAATTACACATATTTATTAAAATAGAGTATTATTTTAAATTAAACCCTTACAGTAAATGTTTACTAAGGACATTTTGCTGAATTCATAATGGTTTCCTCCCACATGTACTTCTTCATATCATTAGATTCCACTGTATTTTTATAGATATGTAATTATGAATAATGTTTTTGACTGTGATTTATTTTAGATAAATTTTTATTTTGTGTTCAACAATGTAGCGCAATCAAGAAATATTACTTGTAATTTCAAATATATGTTTTCTTATATTGTGGATATTTGCATAAAAAGAAACGTACAATATCTCCGAGATATATATTTTCGCTTAGATTATTGTTTCTATCAGAACAATTTCAATTACTTAAAAAATTGTGCAATATAATATTGTTGCTCCTTCCCGAGTATTACTAGCAGTAATTAGATTGTATTTATTGAGATAATTTGCTGTACAATAAAATTAATCATTTAGTAGTGTGGCATTTAATTCTTGTTGAAGCCCTCTCAAGTGCTTCGAACACAAATTTGTATTCTGTAGATCCGTAAGTAAAATGTATTTCATTCCTGTGAGCAAAATTTAATTCACAATGACCTCGAAAATTTGGTGTTTGGATCTGTCAGAAATAGCTTTTGTCACTGAATTGATTTAAGTACGAAGCCACTGAATACAACTTTTGTGCTTGGACACAATGTTTCAGTGTTGAGCCACCGAATGCAACTTCTGACTTCATAACCATTAAATGTGTTTTTTGAGTTTGAGTGCGTGGTATTGAACTATTGTGTTTGGGTCCACCGGATGCAACTTTCAATTCGAAACAACTGGATGCAACTTCAGAGTTCAGAGCCGCAGACTTCAACCTCTACCCTTTTTCGTTACTAGATGCTTTTTCATAACTTTAATCATTCAAGACACTGGAGAGAGTTCATGGCCTCAAACGTAACTCTCGTTTTGAGTAGAGTACGCCAAAAAAGAATCAAGTAGTGTCGGTTCAACCGACTACACCTTCTGAGTTTTGAACCTCCAGATATAACCTATTTGGAGCCATCGAACACCAATTTTGAGATCGAAGTCACCGATTGCACCTTTTAAATTCGGAGCGACCGAAAGCAACCGTTATTGTTTATAGTCATCCCATGAAAATTCTGAGGTGGAAATTTTCGAATGGAACGTTTGAGGTCGAAGCTACCGAATACAGCTGTCTGAACTGTCCAATGCAACTTTTGTGTTGAAGGCCTCCTAGTATATCTTTTGTGGTCGAATAAACTGAATGCAACTTTTATGTTAGAATCATTGAATGTTTTTTTGAGTTCGGAGCGGTAGAATGCAGTTTTTCGTTTGGAGCTGTTCCGTGCAATATTTTTAATTCGGAACCGTCGAATGCAACTTTTAAAGTTCAGAGCATGTTTTGACAATATTTAATCATTTTTTTGTTAACACTCAAATTCTCTTTGGTTGTGATTTTTTTAGTTATCAACATTAAAGAAGACTTTTCATAATTCAAACTTAATTTATGATAATTTAACCAAGAGGTTAGCAATATAATGTAATTTTTCATGTTATTGTAAACTTCTTTAGTATTTTATATTTGTAATTGTAGATTTCTTCTAATTTCAGGGTAACTACATGCTTTTGATCAACAGCCAATAGAAAAAAAACTGCAACTGATGTTTCACTGATGAGTTTCAGTATAAGTGACGCTATACTAATTAAAAATCTTACGTGAGCAGGTGAAAATCTTTCAATTGATTTTTTCAATTTAGTTTTTGTTTGGAAACTCGGAAATCGCAATAACGCAATAAAAAAACTATATTTATATTAATCATAATATATTTCAAATATTTTTTCGAATGCTTTTCTTCAAATTATGATAAAAGTTATTGTAATCTGTCAGTATATTTTTCTAACTTATATTTTAAAAATTGAAACATAACCAAAATATGTATAGCTTAACTAGTATAAAGTTCTTTCGAAATATCTATTTAATTGAAAAGTTCAGAACCAAATATAATTTTCTGATTTTTTCATCATTAAATATCGAAATTATTGAAATTTGCATATTCAATTTTTACTAACTTTTACTGTAGAACATATTTATTCTAATTCTGCTCTCCTTTTTTTATGCTGCTTTTAATATTTGCATTCATCGGTTTGGACTGCAGCTTTAGAATTGGGAAGGTAGTATTTGCCGATTTTTTGTTTGGTGTTACCATCCTCTGTGCCGTCAATCTTTTGTGCATTCTGCATTTAATTTACTCCTGTACTTGTTGAAAAAATATTCTTGAATATCCCATTTTTCTTTTTATAAAAGTGTCATACCTTTCTCTTTCATAGATTTTTGTTCATCAAATGATCAAATTTTCAAGAGACTTCTATTTTTAAACGATTTGTCAAAGTGGCCTTAATTATTCAAATATTGTTCACATGTTATACCAGTACTTGTAATACTTTTTGTATTTTTCATGCTGCAATCCAGCAATTCCAGGTGAGACCTTTCATAATCAATGGAATGCAAAAAATACACTGATGTCAAACGTTGAAAGCGAATTGTAGATTTTATCATTTGCAAAATATACATAAAAGTAACATTTTTTCATTGAGATTTAATTTTTTATTGTTTCATAGTTAGCATCTATTGAATTTGCGTTTGATTTCTGAATAATGATTAAAGACGAAATTGTTGCAGTGTGAATGAACATTCACCATCTCGAAGATCTCGCCTGCCTTCGCAAGTGGATCCTTGTAGACGAACCGCTTCAAGGCTATGGAGGCAACCGGGCGAGGCCCCGTCTCCCCCTCGCTATGCCAACAATTCAGTTTCGATCCTGAGGCGGGCCCATAGTCGTACTAGAACGCCTGCTTCCACATCGTGATATTAATTTTTGGTTAAGTATAGGTTAAAACATGCTACGAAAGAAGTACATTGAGAAAAACATTTTTAGGTCCCAACTAAGAGCGGAAGCTGAATTGGTTCAAAATGAGGAAAATGAAGAAGATACAGACTCATGGGATGAAGAAGACAACATCCCACTTAGCCTTTTACAAACATCTTCTAGTAAAAAATATGTATGGGAAAAAAGGATCTGCAATAGAGTGGCAACCAATGCAAAAGGCAAATGCAAATTTTTCTCCAACGGAACTATTTTTTCAAATGTTTGATGAAGATATAAATATGTTTGTAACCTATAGCAATATGTATGCTGCAAAGAAAAATGAACCCGGAAATATAACACACTCTGAAATGAAAGCATTTTTTGGAGTATTGTTGCCAAGTGAATATGTGTCTCTTCCAAGGAGGTGTATGTTTTGGGAAAAAAGTGGCGATACAAGGAACGAAGTAATAGCAAATGCATTAGCTAGAGATAGGTTTGAGTTTTTCATGTCAAATCTTCATTGCTGCGATAATGACAATTTGGATATAAATGACAGGTATGCTAAAGTTAGGCCATTTTTTGATAGACTGAATCAAAATTTCCAAAGATTCGCGCCTTATTCTGAGACTCACAGTGTGGATGAATCCATGGTTCCCTATTTTGGGAATTATGGATGTAAGCAATTCATCAAGAATAAACCAATTCGCTATGGTTACAAGGTTTGGATGGGTGCCACAAGTAGCGGCTACTGTGTGTGGATTGAGCCTTATCAAGGAGCCAAAACAAAGCTGAAAGAACGATACAAATCGTTTGGTTTAGGTCCATCCGTTATTTTAGAATATGCCGACATACTCAAGATGCTTGGAAGTTTTCCGTACCATATATTTTTTGATAATTTTTTTACAACGGCCCCACTCTTGGATCAACTGCAAAAGGACAATGTAAGAGCTACAGAAACTATCCGGGAAAACAGGATGTCAAAGTGTCCAATATTATCAAAAAACGAAATAAAGAAAAAAAAGAGAGGAGAATATGATTTTAGATCTACTCAGAACAAAGTAGTTATTGTCAAATGGCATGATAACAATGCAGTAAATGTTGCTTCCAATACTTTATCGGTGGAGCAATTACACCAAGTATCACGGTTTTCCCAAAAAGATAAGAAAAGGATCACTGTAGATCTACCACACCCGTTATATATTTATAATAAGTTTATGGGAAGAGTAGATCATTGCGACCAGAATGTAAGCCTCTACTGAACGTCAGTAAGAGGTAAAATATGGTATTTTTGTCTAATTGCGTATGGTCTAGACATTTGCGAACAGAACACATGGCAACTCCATAGACTACAAGGAGGTTCACTTGACAATCTATCGACTAGACGACAAATTACTTTGACGCTCTTGGAAACCAATCGATGTGCGAAAAAAGGGGGAAGACCTTTCGCGTTGGAGAACGTTGAATCAAGATTAGATAACCAAGATCACTTTCTTGCATCCCAACCCAAACAGACTCGATGTCGTGTATGTCACAAAAAAGCTCAGAAAAGATGTGAAAAATGTGACGTGGCTTTGCATATGGAGTGTTTTGTGAGCTATCATAGGTCTGAAAATTAGTTTGCTAATCAGTTACTTAAGAACTAGTATTTAGGTTTCTTACATAACACTACTACCTATAAGCCGATTGTCCTTTTCTAAGGACACCCTAAAACACAGATTGTAAATACTAAAAAATAAACGAAATGTGTTTTTCTTGACTTAAGGAAGGTAAATTGTTAACAGTTAACTGTTACAGTTAACTGTTAACAATTTACTGGCAACAGTTAACTGTTAACAGTTAATTGTTAACTAGCACTGTATAAGTGAAGGAAAAAATATTAGTGAGAAGAGGTTGCTCCATTCATATGTAGAAAATGGGAAACGTCATTTATAATCAATTTCCTCCAGCATACATAATTGAGTCAGTTGAGAAGTGAGAATTGTAATATTTATTTTGAATATTCAATGGTATGATTTTATGTAACTAATCTCAAAATAGCGTTTATAGTTGTATGTATAAGGCGAGTAAAAAAATATTGAAACACGCACCTTGGTACCTGAGATATTTTCAATTTTAACTGGAAAAGAGGATGATGAAAACTGTTAACTTGCAATTAGCAGAACAGTACAGTACATTTATTTTAAGAAATAATGACGAAATAATGAGAGCCTTGAAAGAAGACCAAAGTATGTCTCCAATGATAGGCAGAATAAAACTGTGGAAAACTTTGAAGATATTAAATTTCAGCTAGGAAAAACCAAACAGAAAACCGCTCTTAATCGAAAATGTAGAAATTATTTGCTGGAGAAGACATTACCTAGAACATATGATAATAGGATATCATCTAGACGAAACCTTGCTCAACGAAGGATATATCATTGGAAAGACGTGGCAAGGCAAAAACATTACAAGTTACATCGAAGATTTTTATTCGCCTTCTGGAAAAGGAAAGCGACTGATTATTACCCATATTGGAAGTGTTCATGGTTTTGTTGTGATTGTGATGAGCATGCAAGTTATCACAGAAAAGTTGGAAGAATATGGGGAAAAGCGGATATCATTGAGTGGTTTTGACAAAAAAAATATGGGTAAAAAAGAACAATTGTCTATGGTATGTTCAAATAAAGCTGTTTTCAAAGAATATGTAGTTGATGAAATGGCACAGAAACGAAATATTGTTATTCTGCGTCTGTTTCCCTTGTCATTGCGAACTTAGTCCTATTGAACTCGTTTGGGCTCGAGTAAAGGGTTTCGTTTAAAAAAAACATGACATCTGAAATGAAAGATGTGAAAATACTCCTTAAGGGAGTCCTTGAAAAAACGTTTCGGATACAAAAATGGGGTGGAACCTGGTAAAGTATCACAGACCCGTCTATATCAGCTGAGCCAATCATTTATTACTCTTTACAGAAACAAATTTTAACATTTCGTATAGGGACAATGTACTCCCTGTAATAACTCACTACCGTGTAATATGCATTTTTTATCCCTTCAAATTCAGCTAGGGAAGAATCATTTTCGAAAATTCGACTTTTTGGAAATCTTCGAAGATGCATGGAATTTTAAAACTCAACACCGTTTTCCAGTCGCTTGAAAAGTTTTACTGTCTCTGTTTATTTTATACTCGTAGTTTAAGATCAAAATGGTGAGACATGACTGAAATTTTTGGTACGCTAATATAGAAGTAAAAATCCAAAAAGGTAAAGCAAACGAAGGCCATTTTTGATGATAAATTGTCTATTTTCAAAAAAGCTAATGAGACTTTAAATTTGAAAAATTTTAAATATCTAAAAGTTGAAAAACCATTAAGGAAGTTCAGAAAAATATAACTCACCAGAGCCGCGACCAAAACGGCATCGCTGTCGTAGCGTTCCTCCTTCTCGCGACACATCTTCACCAGGAGGTCGATTCCCTTTTCTTCAACGATCTGCTTCGCTGCCTCTCCATCTCCGCCCAACCTTGACAATGCAATGATACTTTTCTGCTGCAGCCGCTTCACGGCTTCATCGCCAACGAACTTGCTTCCCCGCAGCACTAGGAAGCGCAGCAGTACTTTCACGGCGCCGACTTCCGTCAGCCGCCTCCTGCCGTCCTCCGAGGCGGACACGTTCGCCACTAAAGTGGCTACTTGCTCCAGGAGGTAGATGGACGCAAGAGGTCCTCTGGCTTTGACGGCCGCCAGGAGAACGGAGGCCGTGTCGTGGCGGAGAATATGCTTCATGGCCTTCGGGTCCATAGTGCTCAGGTTGGCCAACGCGGCTGCGCACAACAGCAGGTTCTGGCAGCATCTCGTACTACCGGCGAACTTTGTGAGAGATTTCACCAGTTTGCGAGAGAACTGTTGGAGACCTGGAATGTAATGCCATTATTAAATTTTACGTTATAACATTTCACATAACTGTTACTTTCAAATTTATTTAACTTCCGACTAGGCACTAGTTAGCAATAAATAAAATGCCAGATACTTGATGAAAATCATTGATATCTAAATAAATTAACAGAGATTTTTACTGAACACAAAACCGCGGCAAATGGTTCAATACACAATACTGTATCTAGAAGATAGTCAACTCAAAAACACTCAAAATTAAAGTACAACTCTGAAAAGAGATACCTCTGCGATTCAAGGAATAACAAGGTCTTATTGTTGCCAATTTTGTTAAATCCATTTATCAAAGTACTGGTAAAAAGTGTTTTCGACTTTCTAACAGCTGTATTTGACACCTTGCATCTATTTACTAATAACAAAATGTTCGACTTTCGGGGCAGAGGTTTTCATCCTGAATTATGATGACCTTACTAATATATCATTTATAATAACCAGTAGTATGTACTACAGATAAGTTTGATGTAATAAAACTATGAATATTTTTCTAGATCTTAGCAAGGCTTATAATAATAATAGCTTTATCGTCCAACAGTTACCTATTTACAGGACAATATAAAATTTTATTCACAATACTTGAGTCTTGGCCTACACCTGCCGATATAAAGGAGATGTCTCCCAGCGACCTGTCCACCTTCCTGAAAAGGACAGGATGGACAATGACCTAGGAGGACAACTCCTCAGGAGGATGTACAATAGGTCACATGTGGCCTAAGTGCGTGGGCTTACACTCACCCTCCCTACTCAACAGATAAAGATATTCACAATACTTAACCATAAACGAAAAATATATTGAACAAAAAAGAAAAACTAATTCTAATTATGATCGTGTTGGCCAAAAGACACTTCTTTATAAACTAGAAATGTATGATCTAAGGGGAATAGCAATATTTGAGAGTTTTCTGGAAAACCAAAAACAATTTTTGAGGATTCATGATCAGTAGTCAGACATCTACACTTCCCGATGTTCTTCGGAAATCCAACTTATGTTTATAATCGCAAAAATGACAGTATTTACGCTGATGATACCTCCCTCTTAGTAACAGCTAGAGTGTGAAGTCAGCGTTAGTTAAAACCGTTGAGAATTTCAACGGGCCAAATGTCTGCTTCCAGAATAATTATCAAAATATAATACAATCCAAATCTATCTCAACACGTTTCCATCTCTCTTGCAAAGATCCGAGCCATTTTTCGAATACAAATTATTTTCAGACCAAATCCGAATTAAAACATGATCTCGGGAACAACACCTTTCTTGAAATTTATTCGAAATTAGATATTTTATTGGTTATTATGAACATCATTAATGACATTAATCCTGCGATTTGAATTGAGTTGATATGATATAGACATTAAACTTATGTAAGTATGGAAACAGTAAAATAAATATTAATTTCACTCTAAAAAAGTGATTCAGAGATTTCGACATGTATATACCAAATAAAATTCACTTCGATTTCAAAGAAGATACAGGAGCAGTTCAAGTGATATTCTTACTGTAGGTATAACAGAATTGATCGATACTTAATGAAAATTCATTTTTTTAAATATTCAAAATTCACCTATCCGGTGACTGAAAAAGTACTACTTAATCACAAGTATATTCGACTTCCTTCAATACTTGATCTTTCACTAAAGTGACATAAATGACAAAGGTAACAATACCCTTGAAACTCACCTTTAACGGAGTGGTTATAATCGAGCCAGGGCGCCGTAACCTGCGCGAGCAGTGCGATCGCCTCGGATCTTTCCGGTTCCGGGGTGGAAGCCTCCTCCAGCGTGTCGGCGACGGTCTGCAAGCCAGAGAATTTCTCGAACTGGCGTACTGCTGACCCGTTGCAGCACATCGTGGAAAGCGCCCTCAGGACGAGCGTCCGCAGCGACGATCCCTCGCACTTTTCGCACAGGATCAGCAGAATGGGGATGATATCCGACCTGGTGAACAACTCGACGACCTCCTCGTTCCTGAGCGCGACGCAGGTGATACCGGTGACGGTGGCGCGTAGGTCGAGCTCCGACGAAGGGTGCTCCAGTTTCGATACGAGCTGCTCAACTTCCTCTGCGAGAACTTCCTGACGGGCGTTCTGCCACTGCGCCACTAGGTTTGAGATAAGCTCTAGGATGGATGATTCGTCCGCCCGTGAAGTGCGGATAGCGTCGCAAAGGGAGACCACCTGGGGGGTTAGGCGGGAAGTCCGCGTCTTCAAGAAGTCCACGACGTTGCCGATCAAGCTTTGGACCTGGGGCTTCAGGTGCTTCACTTCACTGAAAAAGTCCTAATAATTAGTAAACGGTCTGGTAAAAACAGAGCAACATTATTTCAGGTCGATTTTATAAAGTGTATCCTCGACACCGATAAAAAAACAAAAAACGTTTGGATAGATAGAAACACAGCGCTTATACAAAAATAATAAGGAAATATATAGCTTCACGCATCTTGAAACCTTTCATTAGAAAAATTCCACTAATGAAACTAAAACATCAACACTCGACTTCCTGCAGTAGACTAGGACTCAATTCGTTGATAAAGTCGTAACCAACTTATTGCTAACGGAATTATTATATTGGGCTATTCGGCTATTGTTCTTCCGATTATCAATTAGTATCAACCAATGTATCATGTGAAGTGTATATTTCACATGATACAATTATAATTTTTCCTAATTTTTTCAGAAAAATATATTGAAAATATCTACTTCAATGTTTTCAATATGCATAAAGTTTAGAATAAATTGGAGATTTCAAAACCTTATTGCTTCAGAATTTTGTTTCAAATGATAATATTTTGCATTGAACGGTTTTACATGAAAAAGAACCAATAAAAGCCCAAACGTACCAGAGGATATTTCTACAGGTCTTCTTTACGACCCCAAGTACATTTAAGGTCACGACTTTATCAACAACGCGAGCTTTAGCGTTTTTATCAATCAAAGCTCTTCTGTTTTCACACAAGTCAGTTTGAGAAAATTATGTTAAAATTTCGTATGAATTCTAAGACAATTATTTTTTGCACTTTTCATCATACAGATTTTTCCTTCATGTAAAGGTGAATAACATTACTGAAGTTATTAAAAAAATAAATGTTTATATTGATAGAAACATTCCATTGAAAATATATAACAGGGAAAAATAGTTATCTACGGAAATGTAGATATTTGATTGATTAATGTTGAAACTCACCCGTTATTGAGATTCTGGTATTCCATCTCGATGCACCTGGAGTGGGAGATGAGAGCCCTGATTGAGGCTGTGAAAGAGGTGGCGAGATGAGCGACTTTCTGGTTGAGTTCCGCTGCTATAGACTTGCACTGTAGGGTCGTCATGCATTCCTGTTCGTACGTCTGTCTCGCTTCTTTCATCCATTTCTCTACGGCCGCATTGTCAACGTCCGATGAGTCGATTGTGGGAATCGGAGGAACCCTGAGAATACACGGAGTCGGGTGAAAAAACGGTTCGCAGGAATATGGTGTCAGAAGTGGGATATGTGTAGTGACAATTGAGATTTCACCAAAGGTCTCTAATATATTATATTCTAATATATTGAATCATTGTAGCTAGAATTGTATTAAGTAGAAAATAAACTGAATCAATGTATCATGAAATCATTGAGAAACTCAGTTGACTTTAACATATTGGTATCGAAAGTCAATCTCAGTAATTTCAAAAAAATGTAACCTCTCAAAAACTATCGATACGGTTTTTCCAAAAAAACTACTGAATATTCTATATGAAATTGGGAATAGAGGAGTCGTTTGTATATATCAACAAAAACTTCTTATGTTAGAAGCATTGAAATACCAATTTTTGGGGTATTTGTCTTTCCAGTTCATATTTAGAATTAAAATAGTTTGTAGACGATATATAAATATGATATGTTGAATGAAATCAAAACCAACAATCAAGTGATCTACATAAAATAGTGTAAATCAATAAACTGATTGGTTTTCTATGGACTGTTTTTTTAAGAAAAATGAAAATTTTGAAAAAAACAAGTAAATTATGTACCTGAATGGAAGAAAAAGCCAAAAACATAGAGAGAGAGAGAGAGAGAAGTAACATGGAAAAATTATTAGAGAATAACTGAAGATTTGATTACATTGTATGTAATATCTCGTTAATTATACATGAAAAGTCGTTATAAACAACCGCAGCAATTTCGTTATCCAACCCTGATGAATCACCGTGTGATTAATCATGTTTTAATAAATGTTTTTGTAGTCATCTGCATTGCTGAACGTGATAATAACGATATGTGGACGTGTTTAATAATATTTAATGATATCCCAAGGTATTTACCGATTATTCCATTAACGTTTAGAACGAAATGGAAAACCAAACCAATTTTCATCGGATATGCTTACGACAGTTGAAAGGTGTCAAGCAATATTTGCATATTCCACATTTGATGCATCGTGGCATTCTACTAATTTGAAATATATCAAACAATTATGAAACTTTTATTTAACTGTCCAAAATATTGTTTCCGTTTTTCTTAATGGATTCGACTTATCCAGTATAAGAAAAAAATTGTGGTAACATTATTATTTAATAATGGAAAAGCTTCATTTTTGAAACATCTGCATAATAAAACAGATCATTCAAAGGAGTTTTAATTGAAAATTGGGATAGTTGAATAAATCAACTCCTTGGCGTTATCTTTGGCATAACTTCTGAACAGCTCGGTATATACCCATTTAATACTATATTTTTGAAAATACTTCTATGGCGTAATCCAAACATGGCAAGCAATATAATATCTCTTTCCATTAAAAAATCACATATTGAAACAGTTTTTGATAACTCTACAACTTGATCTCAAACTTCTAACTGAAGCTTGATGTGACACACACTGTATTACATTATGTAGACCTGTGAATCATATATGTTACAAATCCATAAGGAATGTTTGGAGTACAAACTAAATGGGAAAATGTAATTTCTGTCTAATTCAATATTCTTTGCATAATCTACCTAGTTTTGAAGATTTTATATTGGTTTCTTCATTTTTTTCGGAAGTCAACAATATTTTTTGTTACACGCTTTATATTAGCTTCACCTGTATGTATGTATGTTTGTTTGTATGTATGTATGTTTGTTTGTAACTCTCGAGATCTGTATTTGACAGAATTATCGACATCACTGCTTGATCTATTCGCGGGCAGATGAAGCTGTACGTAACCTCCTTGATATAATTCGAACTCACTTTACATGTATTTCTTAATTTGAAAAAAGTACTTTTTTATTAACACGCGCGCCTGCTGCCTTGGGCTTGGAAGCTGATTTGCAGGCTCCCTCTCCGAAATCGGATAATATCAATGGCCATTTTCCTAAACAATATACAGCTGATTGATTCCAAAGTTTGGATAAAATAAATATAGTTAAAAAAGGCTAAAAAACACGCTTTTATAGCATACGAAACTAAAAAATGAAAAATAAATATAGTTCGAAAAACTAAAAAAACACGCTTTTAAAGAACATCGAACTAAAAAGTTAAAAATATTTTTTTTAAATAAGCTTAAAACAATAACGAACGAAAAATACTAGTATTATTGTGAAAAAAGCGTGGGCGCTTTGTGCCATATTTTTTGTATATCAAGCGCCCGTCGCTTTTTTCACAATAATACTAGTATTTTTCGTTCGTTATTGTTTTAAGCTTATTTAAAAAATATTTTTAACTTTTCAGTTCGATGATTTTCAAAAGCGTGTTTTTTAGTTATTTAAACTATATTTATATAATGATGAAGTACAAAGCCAAATAGCATTTTTTCAAAAAACTAATCTCGTCTAAAAGTGTTCCCACCGCACGCAACATTTGTCGTATAGAAGTAAACGGTGGCCTATTTCCCATCGCCACCTCTCGGGCCCCGCGTTTTTTAGGTTCCGCGTTTTTTTCCCACCCATTTCGTTAGTTATATTGTTATAGGAATGAAATGATTGAGACTGTTGTTATATATTTTTTTTGGCTTCACATAGGCTGTCGTTATTACTCATATTGATACAATACATATATGCCTTGAAAGCAACACATTGGGGTGGTAGCTTTTCATTGAAAGATCAAAAGAGCAAAGTTAGATTCAATGACCTTTGTAGGATTACCTACATGCCAACTGTCGCTTTCTCCCAGATTAATAACAAAAACGTTTATCACTCACTCACCTATCGTGCTGGTACCTGAGGAACAGCCTCAGCGGTAGCTTCTCCCTCCTTTGGCACATCTTCGTCGAGGTTTCGTCCGCTTCAACCTTAGGGGTGGAGGTGTGCTTGGGAGGCGAGTTCAAACGAGCCTCGAACAAACATTCGAGTTCGCTCTCGCAATCGCTCGATAGTAAATTATCGAAACTAGGGGCCCGTTGCTTCTCAAGGATCGCGGGGGCAGAACGGTTCCCGGGAGCCTCCCTTCTCCCGGGGGTGTCTCCCGAAGACGCAGGAAGAGACTGTGTCGAGTAATTTTCTTCTTCGTGGATGGTGCCGTCGGATCGCCAGGAATAGCTGTCGGCCACTGTGGCTTCTTCGCTGGTATTGATACTTTTAGCGGTTGTCCCTTCGTCGTGAAATACTGCCTTCGCATACTGATGAGCCTGGCATTCTTTTCGACGTAAACTCGACGACGTGAATAAATTTCTGCTTACTTTCGGTGAATTTTTAGTGTAGCGACACTTTCGAACTGGCTCCGTGTTAGGCGCCATCTTGTCTCTCTCCTTCTTCGTCGGCGAAGTTTTTGCGGACCTGGTGCCTAGTAAAGTCGACTTTTCCGGTGTGGACTTTTCCACGAAGTTCGACGCCAGGTTCTGCTTCGACTTTTCCGATGCAAGCTCCTTGAAGATGTCCTTGGGGATGCGCTGCGCGGGGGAAGACTTCTTGGGGGTTTCCCCGTTTCTTATGTTGTTGATGTTGGTGTGAGGAGATGTTTCTGTATCCGAAAATCCGGAATCTTGGCTGCCCGGACTTGACGAAGCTTCGCGCCATTCGGAGATGTCGTTGCCAAACCACACTTTGCTCGGGCTTCGTTTGAATTCGGACATCACCAGTGCCGATCCCTGGAAAAGTACATATTTGAGTTCCTGCAGTTAGGTGTGAAAAAGATTAAATGAGACGAAACTCACAGTGGAGAAATTGAACAACGATTTCAGAAATTTTCATGAATTTAGAAATATTTATGGGGTCTTCTCCAAAATGATGTTGTAGTACGCACAAAATGAATGAATGAATGAACAGAAGTGTTTTTTGTTAATGTTTCTCTAAATTCCATATCGGTTTCCCTCAATATGGAGAGGGCATTCAATGCTACACCTCTCCCAAATAATGCCCTAAAAATGTTGATTCTAATCAACAGTACGATGAGACTCTTTTTCAAATGGAATGGTGTTCCTCTTCGTTATGTCTCAGTTTGTCATCATCATCATTTTTCACATCACTGGATTGAAAGAACGCCAAGCTGATGAAATAGAAAATAATTCGAAAAAATGGTTTAATACTCAAGTATTAGTCGATAAATACTATTCTGATCATTCCCACATTGATTTCAATTTAAGAGCCACCGTTAGACGGCTGTTTCCAGTCTGTTGGGCATCGTCAGTACCGGGCAGGCGGTCCTCGATTGAAGACAAAATGTGAAAAATCAAGAACAGTAAATGATAAATAACACTTTTCCCATTAAGATTTTCGAGATAAATGAAGTAGAAAATGACATTTATGAAATTTAATGAAAAGTACTTGAATTGGTGAGACACTTCAACTCTTGACTTTTCATTTGAAAACTGAGCAAATATCTTTTGTATCTCAATACATCAAGTTGTTTGACAATATTTACGTAGATAACTTCATAATACCGACATATTGAATTCAGAGAAAATGATGTCATTTTGTGTACTGTATTGTTAAAAATTATTTCACATTCAAGCAAATGGTCTAAAAAATATTCAACGTTATACTCAAAACTCTTGACATGGGTTCATTTCAGGTTAAACCGAAATAAGGTCTTCGATTGTTTTTTCATTGGAAATAAGGGCTCCAATGCTTAAACTATACCTTCGTTCAAAGTTTCAAATTTCTCACTCCAGAAACAACTGAATGGTACCATGTACTATGATTTCGTTGTCACCCGGTATTTTCTTAGAATTCAAAGTTCGAAACGTCTGTAAGATATCACCTAAAAATCTCGCCCGCATTTACATTACCAGGTACAGAATCCTCGAATCTGTTGATGCAAAAGAGGCGCTTCAAAGTCGATCCTTATTTGAATAATCGTTCAGACAGCTGTATTTATTCCTGGGACGTACGACGGTTACACGCCAACAACCGACAACTACGTTATAGATCGTCACAATTTTTAAATCCCAACAGAAACGAGTAAATATTATTAGCATAAGGCGACGACAACTATATCTACTATTCCAGCAACTTGGAAAACGTGATATAAATTGTTTAGACAGAAAGCAAGCAATGACAAAAAAACAAATAGAAGAATAAAAATTTCATTTCAATGAGAGTTATTTTCAGAAAAATTCAACTTTTATAAATTATTTGACAAACCAATAACATAAATTGAAAAAAATTTAAATTTTTAATGAAAACCACTGCGTAGAAAAAAATAATTATTGTTTTGAAACGATTTAGTGTTGGTAACAAGAAAATCCATTCAAAAAAGATAACTACAAACTTCGACCATAATTGAATTTAGGTTAACATTCTGAGAATACAATATTGACTTATCCATTTCTTACAAGTATCAGGTGCTGATTACGTTTTTCTATCTTTTCCTGACATCAACAAAATCCGCTTCTTACTACCTACTAGAAATAGATATACTCTTATTCCTCAGTATCATTTGTCTCTTCGAAATAATCAATGTACATTAGAAAATACTTTTTAATGCATAAAATATCCTTTCTACATTTAACAAATATACGAGGTCTGTTAAAAAAATAAGGTGAATGTTAAAATTTCGCGGAATACGTACAATCGATTGGTGATTTTTTTCAAGTTGGTACACTCGTCTAGAACATTTTCAGCTGTTTAGCATGTTTAGTTTGTTGGTGAGAGGCATAAAAGTTTTAAGCGTTTTGCGTGTTCGGCGACTTTTTTCTATCGAAAAAATTAATCAAATAAGTTGATCGAATTTTGCGTAAAAAATAGAATAAAGTGCTTAAAAACACTTGAAAGTTGACAGTGGCATACTATGATTGCACTTCGAGTCGGAATACTGTTTATAAGTGGAACAAGCTTTTCACAGAAGGTCGAAAAAATGTGCATGACGACGCTCGTCCTGATCGCCCCTACACATCCACAACCGACGATAATATTGAGAAAATTAAGAAAATTGTTATGTAGAATCGTCGATTCACCGCTAGAGAAGTTACTGAAGATGTCGGCATGTCGGTTGGCTCATATCCTGTAATTTTTTCGGAAATTTTTGGGCATAAAACGTGTGGCAGCAAAGTTCGTTCCAAAATTGCTGAGTTTTGACCAAAAAACCGACTCATGAGCATCGATTAGGAATGTTTGAATGACGTCAACGACAATTCAGATTTGCATAAAGGGCTGTAACTGGTGACAAATCATCCCAATGGAGGAGCCCGGGAGAGTCAAGACCCAAAAAAGCACGCCAAGTTTGATCAACTGTCGAAGTTTTGCTTACTGTTTTCTTCGATTACCGTGGCGTAGTGCATCAGGAGATCTTTCCACATGGTCGTACGGTCAATAAAGAGTATAATCTTGAAGTTATATACCGCTGGAAAGAGATGCTAGATGGACTGCATATAGACTTCTGCACATTGCAAATTGCACAAAACAATTTAATGCAGAGTCCAAAAGAATGTTGGTTGACACTGGAAGTCACAGCATTCTGGAAATGACCTCTGACTTTATGCCTCCAACTGTCAACTACGAACTGCCTTATAAAGTAATGTTCCCAAGTAGAGAGGACTGGATCCTCCGAGAGAAGGACATACAAAAAGCAGATAGTTGTTGGTTCACAGATGGATCAAAAACACCTTCCGGTTCTGGTGCAAGTGTTTTCAGTCGCAGACCCAGGGCAGAGATAGCAATCTGCCTAGGAACCTATGCGACTGTATTTCAAGCGGAAATTTACGATATTGAATTGTGTGCGGGGAGATTGGAAGAATCCAACCTCATACACAAGTCAAAAATATTCTCGGACAGTCAAGAGGCGTTGGAAGTTCTTGTCTTCTACCGAGCAACGTCTAAATTGGTAGCAAATTGCCATAAACGACTCTCCTCGATAGGAAGACTTAACAGATTGTCTCTGTTCTGGATTCCTGGCTATACTAGCCTGGGAGGGAATGAGGCTGCTGACTCCCTTGCAAAGGAGGGTGCTGCAAGCAGCTTCATCGGACCAGAGCCTGCCATTGGCATCGCTTTAGGATTTGCCAAACAAAGATTGAACAAGAACATTTATGGACTTCTGTTCTGTCTGATCCGTTTTTCCGTTAACCAGCTGTCGCACCCCTACGAATGACAACCCTCAGAAGTTGAAACTTGTGCGAGCTAAGGAATACCGAGGTCTTACCTTTTAACGTGTGATTCCCAACACTTCTGGCAGAATCTTCCAGGATTGGCTCACTCCAAGGCGTTTATCCACCCTTCGAAGCTTGATACCAAACAGTTGTTGGACTACAGTAGGGATGAACTACGAAGTCTAACAGGCCTTCTTACTGGTCACTGTCATTTGAATTATCATATGCAGAGACTCGGACTGTCGGAGGACAGTCTGGAAAATGATGAAACAGCAGAGCACACACTTTGTACCTGACCCGCTGAGGACCGAATCAGGTTTTTAGAGTTCGGCAGAACCGTACTCTTACCATTTGACCTGAAAGATCACTCACTATACAAACTAATCGGCTTCGTCAAGACGCTGGGTTTATTTGGTCGAGTGTGAATAGGTGTGAGCCACAATAAACCCTTGCGGGTTGCGGTGGAGGGTCGAATAGACCACTCACTTTAGACCTAATCTATCGTATATACCGCTTGTGAGAAGCAATACGAAGAAAATACCTGGTATTGTGGAAAAACAATTCATGGCTTTTGCATCACGATGCACCTGCTTACTCGTCATTACTTGTTCGTCTGCGACGATTGAAGAGATCAATACCTAATCGCTGAAAGAGCTCGAAGACATACCTTAAAGTCCATATCAGAACTGCTTTGAGGATTGGAAAAAACGCTGGCACAAATGTATCATATCTGAGGGGGACTAATTTGAAGGGGACACAACAGAAATTGCTAAATAAAAAATGAAAATTCAACCAATTTTTTAACAGACCCCGTATTTACGGTCATACTAAAATTATCAGAAGCATTTTTTTTTTAAACTTCAACATCCTGTAATTCAAAAGCTAAGACTTTTAGAACATACGTTCATACAGTTTTTTTCTCGAAATGTACCCCAAATATTAGAACGTTATTGAAAACACTCTCCATATTTTGCACACTGAAGAAGAACTGAAAAAGAAAGTATAAGCCCCAAATTATAATTTGATACAAAACCGTTCACATTAAGAACCGCATTGCATTTTTTTAAATTCTCGGATGAAAACTAGATCGTGAAAGATTACGCCAAGTTAATTATGAGGCATAATTTCAGATCGTGAATACCTACGACGAATTTGTGGTTATAATTTCATGTAGGTGTGCCAAAAACGAAAAAAAGTTCTCTTCTTCATTTCGGTACACCATTAAGTTTCATATTTCACAGCATCAAGCGAATCAACCGTTATGATCGCTTTTTCTGGATCGGATCAAATATTCTGTCAAGTTTACTTCGTCTTCTATTTTACCCGATCGATCGATTTTACCCGATTTACATCGATGACGTCCGCAATAAGAAGTTAATTGATACTTGGCGATGCTTGATTTATTACTGTATTAAGTGGATATTGAATTCAACGATTACAAGATGTCTTTAGCTTTTTCTTATGGAAGATGTCCTTTTTTCTTGTACCTAATACTTATACTTCAACAAAAATGCAAGCTTCACTCTTTGCAGTTAGTTGTACGGTGTGATTATCTGGT